ATGAAGAAAAGTTCCGCTCTTATGTTGGTTTTGGGTCGTTAAGAGATTTCTTGGAGTCTGAGCTTCAGAAGAGATACAAGGACGCTGCTCCAGCAACACTAGCTTTGCTTGAACAGCGCTGCTCTGAGGTAACCGACGATATGCTGAGAATGGATATGAAGATCAAAGCTACTTCTGATGTTGCCCATCTCAGAAAAGCAGCAATGCTACACACTGCTTCTATTAGCAATCACGTGGTGAGTCATTTGTTAAAGTACAGTTTTTTTGTTGCACCGTTTTTAAGTCTTATGTAGATCATACTATAACTTTACGATAGCGTGTTCTAAGTCTTTGGAAAATGAGTTGAGAAATTACATTGTTTTGCTTTTACTTCTTAAGGGAGCTTTGATTGATGGAGCTGCAAATCCAGCACCTGAGCAATGGGGGAAAACAACTGAAGAAGAACGTGGCGAGAGTGGCATTGGAAGTTGGCCAGGCGTAAGTCTGGATATTAAGCCCCCAAATGCTGTTCTGAAACTATATGGAGGAGCTGCTTTTGAAAGAGTGATTCATGAATTCCGCTGTGCAGCCTACTCAATCGAGTGCCCTCCAGTTTCAAGAGAAAAGGTACTCTTCACCACCTTACGTTTCAGTAAACAGCATTTGTCTACTTCTTCATATATAGAAATGCAGTGTTGAACACATAGCCTGAATTGAGCAGGTAGCAAACATCCTGCTTGCTCATGCTGGGCGTGGAGGTGGTAGAGGAGTAACAGAAGCTTCTGCAGAAATTGCTCGAACAGCTGCACGGTCATGGCTCGCTCCTCTTCTTGACACAGCCTGCGACAGACTTGCCTTTGTACTAGGAAGTCTCTTTGAAATTGCTCTAGAAAGAAACCTGAACCAAAACTCAGAATGTAAGAAGAATCTTTCAAATGATCCTTTGGTTTAAATGAAATTCTCATGGATTAACAAATATTTTTTTTGGTTTTGGTATAGCAGATGAGAAGAAAACTGAGAATATGGATGGATACGTGGGTTTTCATGCTGCTCTACGGAATTGTTACAGTCGTTTCGTGAAGAATCTTGCGAAACAGTGTAAGCAACTAGTAAGACACCATCTTGATTCAGTGACCAGTCCATATTCAATGGCGTGCTATGAGAATGACTACCACCAAGGAGGAGCTTTTGGCTCTTATTACAAACCCAACCAAGCCTCAGGTGGTGGTTCGTTTTGCTTCGAGCTCTCTGACACTGGCGGTGATGAGCCAATGAAAGATCAAGAAAACATCCCACCTGAGAAGAGTAATGGCCAAGAGACAACACCAGGGAAAGGAGGGGAAACCCACATAACAGTCCCTGAGACGCCATCACCAGACCAGCCATGCGAGATAGTGTATGGTTTGGTAAAGAAAGAAATTGGGAATGGTCATGAGAATGGTGGTGGAGCCAGAAAAAGAGTGGCGAGAATGGCGGGACACAGGAACATGGAGCCACTTAGGATTCAGAATGGAGGAGGTGGGGTTCTGTTTGGTAACGCGGATAACGGATTGAGATCAAGCTCTGCTTACTCTGAGATATGTTCATCAGCTGCACAACATTTTGCTAGAATACGGGAAGTTCTGGTCGAGAGAAGCGTAACATCGACTCTGAACTCAGGGTTTCTAACACCTTGGTAAGTCTTTTTGATGAACATTCTAGTTTCCTTGTAGAAGAAGTATTCATTTTGATTTTATTTGAATTTCGGTTTGTTTGTTTTTTTTGTTGCAGCCGAGACAGGCTAGTGGTTGCACTAGGATTGGATCTGTTTGCAGTAAACGATGATAAGTTCATGGACATGTTCGTTGCACCTGGAGCCATTGATGTGCTGCAAAACGAACGTCAACAGCTTCAGAAACGCCAGAAGATTCTCCAATCTTGCTTGACTGAATTCAAAACGGTGGCTCGTTCTCTCTAACGAAATGAATGATCATTTTGTCTCTGTACCTAGCTACGATGTTATCTTCTCTATAACATGTGAAATGTTTCTTGTGGATGTATGATGTTTTCAAAAATCAGAAGAGCTTTTTATCATTATATTCTCTTTCCCACTTGAAACCAAGAAAAACAAGTTGTCTTGTAGTACAGTCAAATTTAATGAGTTATCAAAATGTATATAGCAAATAAAGATTAAGTTAAGGGAGATTCTGTAATAAAATTAGGATTTTATATGTAACCGAATAGGGGATACCTGTAATAAACATAGAGGGTGGAAGCCCTGTTTATTCATGTTTCTATACCAGGAAGTCTGAGTTTCAAATCTCTGAAGAAAACGCGATTTATTCTTAATTATGCCAGATTAATAAAGAATGATGCAAATTAATGGAGACAAACTTACAAGAGATCTTCAGCGTGGGTGTGGTGCAGACTGTAGGTAAAATTGTTAGTCGTGGATCTTCATAAAACAGTAGAATTAACCGTTGTGGAATCATCCATATAACAATTTTCATAGTTTGTAATAGATTAATAAATCAGTATTAAAAAAAAACATAAAGAAACCAACTGGTAAACACACAAAAAAACTATAAGAATCATATGCTTTGTTTGATTTGTTTCAGTTTAAAAAAACTTATTTTGTCAAAAGTGTAATAATATATTTATGACGTACGGAATGAGAAGGAAATGGATATGGTTGTGTGTAAAACAGCTAAGCTGGATCGCATTGTTGAAACAGAGAATCTACGAAGGAGATTTGAAGAGAGATTGGTTCGGTTGAAATTCCCATAAACGAAGAGACAAAAACTTGTTCCTCGTGTGATCGAAAGTAATACAACATCGCTTTTTGCACTCAACACGAATCGATTCAAAAAATTGTTGGTACTACTTGATTTACACAGAAAGATGCTCTAGTATTGTTCAAGATTAGTACTGTTATGTCAACTAGTGATGATGGACTACATTTTGTTTCCGGGACCAATTTAGATTATTAGAGTCATATCAAATATATGAAGTTTTTGTCGTTTTGAATTACTCACCGTTCAACCCGGCCGGTTCATATAAGACCAATACTATATATTCGAAACTATATTCTATAATACCATTTTTCTAAACCCTGTAAATTTTAGATATATCAAATAAATAAATAAATGTTTTATATCTGCTATCCATGCATGATGCATATACTATATATACTTCTCATTTCTTACGTCAAAAATATGGTTCGCTAGTAATATCATATTACTAAACCAGTAAACCCTAGACAAATAAAATTAAGGTGGAACAAGTTTGTATAAAATACACAACCTTTGTTGTGGTACGTCCAGGCAAATCTTGATACGTGGCATTATATAATTTTCGATACAGATCTCTACCATTGATCTCGACAAATCATATATTTGGATTCTAAAAAAAACCAAAGGCATCTTTTGTTAATGGGAGTGAGGTTACGGTCCCTACGGATAGATAGTTACGTGAGTTTTGTTTGCTAACGTGAAAAGAGCGACGCGGAGGAACGAAGGAAGTAATGCAGAATCTGTATAAAGAGAAGGGATCGAACATTTATAAAGTTTGAATGCGAACATATTATGGCTCAGATACATCGAAATAAAAAGAATTCATCCGTCATATATATTCTTCTGTTCGTGGATTATACAAATCTTCTTTTCGTTGTCACATTTTCGAATTTTTTAGATAGTCCAAAACTTGAATGTCAACATTTTACTTGAGAAGTATTCAAGAGAATCACTTTAATTTATTTACACTGATACAAAATCTCCATTTCCAACGCACAACAACAACAAAAATCAAACAAAACATAATGAACCATTGTTGTTACTTATTATTATCCATTGGGTTATATGAGTTTTCTTATTCCAAAACTTTCACAGTGCACATCCAAGGGAGATGTGACCACATCCACATGGACAATCAGAGTGCTCATTTAAACCGACATCAAACCAAATTCACCAAACCAAAAAATTATATATTTTTGAACCAAACTAACTCAAACCGAATCCAAACTATATACTTCTGACTTCTGAGCCAAACTAACCAGATATAATTCAATTCAAACCCAGTAACCTTCCGGGACCAAACCAAACCAAACCGGAAACTCAATACGAGATTATTCATTCAGTTATGTAAAACAACAAATGCAGCTTTTTGCTAAACAAATATAAAAGCAAAGTTGCGTCAGGGAGAGTACAATGTGGCATGTGAAACCTTTGTGTCCTGCAGTCTCTTTCACTACCCACTAATTCTAGTATTCCACTTTCAGTAAAATATATCATTCAAAGAGGAAAAAAACAAGACAACAACTGTAAAAATTTAAGGAAGATGACACAGTACAAGTAAAAGAGCTTATCTGTTTGCTGTCGCTATACTTCTTTAGCTGTTTAACTCAAAGATTCAAAGTTCATTTCATTTGTTTCAGTGACTCTTTACAGAATCTGTCAGTGAATGGCTTCTCCACACAACACACTGTAAAAAAATAAAACAAAAACAGAGAGAAAGGTTATAAAGTCACATTGTTACTTTTATGGTGAAAAACAGCTCAAAGAATAATCTTAGAACTCAAAACAAATCTTAGAACTTTTATGGTAGCACAAGAAAGAAATCAAAAGGATTGGATCGTATTTAAGCAGCATCTACACTATTCGTTTCGTTTGTCCTGGTCCAGACACAGATAATATCCACGCTTAGGACATCTTATAACACAATCCAAGAGATCAAATCCTAAGTTATACGGTAAATGCATTCCAAATATGAGTCTAGACTTGAGGTTGCAACTTGTAAGTAAAGGAATTCAAGAGTCAGATCAATTTATTAGAAGGCCAATAAAGCCTTCCTCTATAAGGCAAGCAATAAGATCTTCAAGATTTCAGATTGGAAGTTGTCATACTTCTGTAAACTTCAATCTAAAACAAACAAACAAACTAAAATGTCAAGAACATCTTAAAAGTTTCTATTCCCAATCTATATATATTATCTCTTTTTTCTTTCTTTACCACTTTTTTTTTCTTTGTTTTTTTTCTGAGCTAGCACATCAACGTAATCATGCACTTATTCCACCAGAGAAGCGTACAAGAACACAGTGGTCCATATACCGACTTTACTTCACCTTTAAAACACTTACAAACTGCTTCAATCTCGTCAACAAAATATCAACCAAACCTCAACATTGCTTAACGTACAAGAGTTTCCATTTCCCCTGAAAGCTTCAAGCTTCTCTCCCAAAAAAAAAAAAAAAAAAAATGGAGGGTAAGAAAACACAAGGACATGGGTATCTGAAAAAGAAGGCTAGTGTGTCTTACCTTGTGGAAGAAGAAATGGATAACGATACGGATGTAGAAGAAGAGGTTGGAAGAGAGAAAGAGAAGAGAAGAGGAGTGATGGATAGGTTTACAGGATCTTCTAGTGGCAGCAACGATCGTGTCTCATCACGGCTTTGCCAAGTAGATAGATGCACCGCTGATTTGAAAGATGCGAAGCAGTATCACCGGAGGCACAGAGTGTGTGAAGTTCATGCAAAGGCATCTTCTGTCTATCTCTCAGGGGTTAGCCAACGCTTCTGTCAGCAATGCAGCAGGTATAAACCTACCCTTCAATACACTTTTGCAGAATTTTTATTAGCAAAAGGCAGAATTTTAGTGAATGGTTTGGAACAGGTTTCATGAGCTCCCAGAGTTTGATGAAGCTAAAAGAAGTTGCCGGAGGCGCTTAGCTGGACACAATGAGAGGCGGAGGAAGAGCTCCGGTGAGGAATCAGGTGGTCGAAGAGGAATCACCGGTCAGGTGATCCGGGACCAAGAAAGATCAAGGGTAGAGATGACACTTCCCATGTCAAACTCTGCATTCAAGCGACCACAGATTAGATAGAGAAGCTGTCTGCTCTCTCTCTTCTGTCATCTAAAATTCTCTTAGAATGATCTGAAAATTGTGGTATCTAACAATGTCAAACAAAATCAGCTGAGTCATGGTATACAGAAATAAGTAATAATTACAACTCTCAATGTATTCCTGTGATGGATACATATCTCCAAATGCTAAGACTATGGCTTAAACTTGAGTCTGCATGTGTCTAGTGTATCCTGTATGTTTCGAAGATATCTCTCTCTAATGATGTGTAATGCTAATTGGTAAAAGGTTTTTAAATACAGATTCGAGTAAGGAGTGTGACATATCCAAAAGCACAGGAGACTAACCGAAAGCCACTCAAGTTTCATCAGAACCACCACGAATGAGATAATCACATCTTGCCAACAGCCTCCTCTTAGAGATTATTTGCTGCTGTAGATCACAATATTTGAATAACCAGCGACCATTATGAGTGAATCGTTGAGACTAGTTTATGATAGAAACAAAACTTTCAAAGTCCAGAGCGTCATTAATAAAATATCAACATCGAACCATCTTTAGACTCTTTTCACAAAGTATGTCCTTTCCACATACCCTGGTTTTTTGAATCAACAAATACATATTCAAACTTGAGTGAGAATATTAAAGTAAAGAAAAACAGGAAATATAATCAAAATTTGAGTTTTAGCCAAAATTGGAAATGCAGAGTAGATCATCTTCACTCTTTCCATGAGCGTAAGAGAAAGAGTGAGAGACACGCAATTACCCTAAATGGGCCGAAAATAGCCCAACTAAATGTAAAGGCCATGTCGAAATGATTCAAGAACGTCTTTTTTCCTTCTTCTTTCAATTAATCAATTTAGCTTCTGTTATTACAACTCTTTAGAAAACTATATCTAACAATTGACAGGCGTAAAGTACACAGATGTTATATTCCGAATCATAATACCTCTGATGTATATTAAACGTTAAGCAAAAAAAAAAAAAAAAAAAATCAGCATGGGTTTGTTAATGATATAATTTGTGGTCCCTAGCTAATCCTTATAGAATGGGCCAGGGATGTGTTCTTAACAAAGACTACAATGGGAGACAAAAAGCCACATAGTGAGATCATTGTCTTCAATTTTGCTTGAGTTTAATGTATTCTTCTTCTTTGCTATATGTATGTGAATCTATAAGTATTAATCTGTTTTCTTGACTAAGCTGGAACAAACATTGAATAATAAAATAGATGTAGTTATTGTAAATGAATCTCTAAACTCATATAATTTTATGTGAATGTGGAGAGAACATGAACAAATTTTCGCAAATCATTTCGGAAATAATACATTTTTTTGATCATTATGGTTAATTCATAACTGATATTAGTTTATTCATAACATATTTTAGTTTATAATAGATATTCCATTTGCATATGATACCACCAGTTAGATTATGTACTTCTCTTTTAATATGCTTGCTTAAAGCCATCGTTGCTTTCTGCCGAAAACTTTAAGAGTACTTTTCGTATACCGTGTCCCTCCCAAGAGAGAACCTTCAAAGTTCAACGAGTATGTGTCTCAGACCTTTACAGTTATAAAAAAATTCATCAAACAGCAAATTAAATCTAATAAATTAACAATATCACAAAAATATGATCTATATATTTTTTAAGGATCTATCTACGTATAAAATAAAAATAAATCAAAAAGGTTTTAGGAAACATGAAGAGATAGATAATGCCTCGTGATTAAAAGTCTAAACTTAGCAACATGTGGGGATAGTTTTGGGATCCAAACCACTTTAGACAAAATCATGACACGAACACCATAACCATTAAGACTTCTTCACTTGGATCTCATTCTTCTATTTGCCCCCACAAGAAGTCAAACACTGAACTAGCAAGTCTTTGACTGCCGTACTCATTTCGCCACGTGTCCCACTTCAAACACCTCTCTATATAAACGCAAGTTCCAGTTCCAACAAATAAAACACATTATTCACACACAATTATAATTACTAACGTTTTGCAGATGGAGGACGACCGGAAAAATACCCCAAACTCCGGTGAGACCTTGCCTGAGACGGCTTCATCATCCTCGGACTTTGAATTTGGATCGTTGACTCCTTCTTCGCCATCACACTCGGAAAATTCTCCCGCCGATCACCTTTTTCTCAACGGCCGTCTACTGCCGCACACTTTTCCGACGACCCGTTCGGTGTCAAGTTCGACCAGCGACAACACTTTCCGTAGCAGCAGTACAAGTAGCCGGGGCAGTGAAAGTAGCAGCCCAACGTCTTACACTCCAAGAACAAGCACTTGCAATGTCTTCAAGATCACGAGTTCAAATATCAGTGACGGAGAAGAGACTAATTCAACCTGCTTTGGTCCCCGATCCAAGAAAGTCATGGATCTAAGCCATCATTGCAGCAGCAAGGTATATAATCACAATCATCACAAGCCATCATCGTTGATATTGGATATAAAGAAGAAACCAACGATGAACAATGGTAAAACGGTAAGTACTACGACGGCTAAGAAGATTTCGTATTTGCCGACGCAATGCAAGAGGAAGAAAGCTACGGAGATCGTGACAGCGCAGCTTTACGGGTCGTATTCAAGGCGGTGGCAGCATATAACTCCAGTGTATAAAAAAAGAGAAGGGTCGGTGAAAAGTAACGGAGGAGGGATTAAGGTCGGTGGACGGAAGAAGAAGGCGGTGAGAAGGAAGAAGAAAAAGGCGGAGGAGAGAAGAGGAAGTAAGTTGATGAAGTGGTGGAAGCGGATTTTAAAGGCGGTGGTGTTGGCTTGCAGAGAGTGTCATGCAATGGAGCCTCAGAGAGTTGTGAATGATGTTACTACTGATGTGAAAAAGAAGATTATTAAATGTCCATAAACAAATTTTCTGTGCTTTTTAATTAATCTCTTGTTTTTTTTTCTTAATAAAAACATATTTGTGAGAGAAAAAGATAGTCCTAAAGTTTGGTACAATTTTACCTTATTTTTTGATGTTTGACCTTTTAGTGTGACTTAGCTATCAAGGCTCAAATTCAGTCCGGTACTTTTTGTAACCTAAAGCTTCCGTACCAGCTAGAAGCTCTCCGTTTCGTTCCGTTACGCTGAAGAAAGATAATCCTCTTTATTTGGACGATGAGAGAAAGGCATATGGCAAGCAAGCAAGTTTTGGAGTAGGAGTTGTGGTGCAATCATCGGTCGTTGGCTCGTCCAGTTTCTGAAGTTACAGGGACGAGATTTGTGATACTTGTGAGACAAGGGAAGTTACTACTGAAGAGGAGAGTAGCCCAAGATCACGAAACTGAATTTGTGATACTTGTGAGACAAGGGAGGTTACCACCTTAGGGCACATGTGACAATATTTGTTGTCGAGTGAAACACAAGAGTTTCCACTACCTAGTCCAGGGACGAGATTGAAGAAAGGTTCGACTCTTACTCCACCACTTATCTCGTTATAAACTCTCTGAATGCAGATGCAAAAATGTTGGATAATCTCTCGATATATGGATACACGCCAAGACTTTTAGAGAAGTGTACGACGCTCTACGTAACCAAAAAGAAGATTAGATATATATAAGCCAAGTTTTTGAACAAAATCAAGTCTTAGTGGTCTCAAGAACAACGACCACATTTACAATAACAAAAGTTTGAACAAGATTCACATAAAACATCAGGATGACCGAATCTTTCTTCTAGCCCTTGTTCAAATCAAGAATCTCGTTATACCGCACACGCAAGAACATTTATAGAGCCAAAAGTAGAAACTTTACAGTTTGATACATATAGCTATCCAATTCATCGACCGAATCATCAACCGTAAATAAATTCTCCAAAATGCCAATCGCCACGATCTGTAGTAACACACATCGGGAAACCCCAAGTGATTTATATAGCAAAAATAACAGTTTTAACAAAATAACAAAACTTCGGAAACTTATCGCAGTGAGATTTCTTCTTATTATGGCGTCGAAGACGAAACTTCGAAATTTGAATTAACAAATCAATTCCATACTTTTAAATATTGTTGATTAAAAACTAAACCTGATAAATATATATAACCAAAATTGTACAAAACAGTACTCAGTTACTCAGTGTTAATTTTTATTATTTTTGATCAGAAGTCAGTTTTAATTAATTAGGCTAATGTATTTTCTAAAGAAAAACATATGAAGCAAAATTGTAATAGATTCTGAATTTAAAGACAATTATACATTTCTCATTCAAAGATAATAAATCAAAGGCGAAAAAATAAATAAATAAATTAAATTTCATTTTTTCTATAACTCAAATATTCTTATTGTATTTCAGCAATTAGTGTAGGAGACAAGTAGCCTAGACTTATTTAATTATATTTTTTTCACTATGTGGTGTGGGTTCAAAATCAAATGTCTCTAATGGGAATATATATGTTAGAAAGAACGAAAGAAAAACACATGTAATTTGGCCATTACCCGTTAGGATCCCTTGAAATTAATAATGACCCACCAAGAAACTGTTGGTACGTACACTAATACGTTCCTCGTTAAATCTTTTTGACAAAAAGAATAAACCAAAGCCGACAAAATAAAATAAATAAATCAGTTTTCATTTGTTTATCGATAACTCTTAATGTTTGTTGGTATCTTATATTTCAGCATGTATGGGTGACAAAGTATATAGCCTAGTAACTTCTTCTTTTTTTTGTCGAAAGCCTAGTGGCTTGTCATCATAATTTCCACTATGTGGTGTGGATTCAAATATCTCTAATGGGATCTAAATGTTAGAAAGAAAAAAAGACATGTCAAATTGGCCATATTATTACCCGTTAGGACCACTAAAATTAGTAATGACCCGCCAAAAAAATTGTGGGTACTTCAAGAATTTCAAAAGGGCCAAATGGTGGTACAGTGCTTTTGTTTTTTCGTTTATCCACGACCTTTTTCTTCTTTCTTTCTGTATAAAATAATAAGACAAGATCTTATGCTGTTATAGGACATGTATCAATGAGAGTAAAAACAACATGCAAAGCCAACGAGATACTCTGTCACTGACAAAAAGATATATCCTGTTTGTTCCATATATTAACACGTTATATAACGTTCCATTTATAGATTTCTTGTATTAGTTTTCGTGGGGAAGGGGTTTTCTAAGAACTTGACTTCATCTGAAAGTAATATAGTATAGTTCAGTTACAACTCCTTCTTCTCTTTTTGCCGTCAATTACAACTTTGTTTAATCATCTATAATTCCATAGAGATTAACCAACGTTTTTGCAAGTAATAAAAAAAATAGACATATATAAAGAGCTACCTGCCATTGAAGCATATATTAAAGGGGAATTTTTTGGTAAATTAATTCCCAGGGTAAATTTGATTTATAATCTGTTTAGATTATCTCCCTATTATTCAAAATATTTTACAAATATTGTAGATTATATTACCGTAAAATAAAATAACAAAGAAAAACAAAAAACATAAATGATCATAAACACAGGATCTTCGTTCCTTTTTTGCCAAGAAAAATGGTGGACCATCCACAAAATACGTTTTTTGACGTATCTGCTCAGAGAAAACCTTCATCTTAAACCCTTATCCGTCTTGGGTTTTCTTAGATTCCATATACATTATATACACACACGATGACATATTAGTTATTATTCTAGTTTGCGTGAAGAAAGATGGGTAACTGCGTATTCAAAGGCAATGGTGGTTTAAGAAAATTATACGATAAAGATGATTTGCTTATAAAAGTGGTGACTCCAAACGGCGGCGTAATGGAGCTTCATTCTCCCATCTTCGCCGAATTCATCACCGACGAATTTCCCGGTCACGTCATCCACGACACCTTAAGCCGCCACTCATCTCCGCCGCTTCTCCACGGTGAAGAGCTTTTTCCTGGTAACATTTACTACCTCCTCCCTATTTCTTCGACCGCCGCAGCCGCCTCAACCGCTCAACAACATTCCTCCTACCAATTAGCAACGCCGTATAGAATGTCTTTCGGGGAATCGCCGGTGAAAGTGGCTGCGAACGGCGGTTGTGGAGTGTGGAAAGTGAGGCTCGTGATAAGTCCGGAGCAGTTGGCGGAAATTCTTGCGGAGGATGTGGAAACGGAAGCGTTTGTGGAAAGTGTTAGGACGGTGGCGAAATGCGGCGGTTACGGCGGAGGCGGAGCTAATTGGAGGGCGAAGTCAGACCAGTCAAGCGTCACGAGTAGTTTCAAAGGGCAATTACGGTAAAAAAAATCGAAAATGTGTAACCTACGTAACGTTTATGGAATTTTTCTCATGTTAATTGTGTTTTAATTTGTTTCACGTATGGTACAATGATTTCGATAGTTTTTTTAGTGATTATAAGTTTATTCAATGCTAAATTTTAAAAGAGCGAACAACAAGAGAGATAGACAATTAACCAACTGAACTAAGATTTGCTTAAGACATGGGAAAGCTTGAGAGACAGAACCTAGACGGAATCTTGGAGAATGACTCCAAGAAATGGCTTAAGACATGAGAAAGCTAAGATAGGCCCAGCCCAGTATTAATAATATAACAGACTATTGTGAAATAAGTAAATAGCCCTAATCAATGTTTGGACTGGGCCTATTTTAGGGCTCGTTAAGATTGGATCAACGTTTAAACTAAACATAATTAAGGTTTTTTTTATTTTATGAGGAAATTAAAAAAAAAAAGACAAAAAAATGAGAGAATTGAATAATCAAATCAAGGAAACTTCATAAACGAGAGCAGTTCTTCTTCTCGATCTCTTGGTGCGCTCGCGAGAGAGCATTGGAGAGAGAATTATCTTGGGAAGGTAACTAGAAGACGAAGACTGTGGAGGAAGAAAATTAAGATCTGTATATATTCGCGCGCGTCTTCTTCGTCGAACTATCAGGTAATCTGAATGCGATCCTTGGAAATTTCTCTGATTTCGACATCGTAATCGAAGAACTTCTTTACTTTTGTGATTGATCGAATGGGACAAAGCTTCAACTTTCAGTGAAAGCGTTTCTCAATTGCGTGTAATTTTCTCGGCCAGTTGAATTTTTTTTCTCGGTCAGCTACTTGTTTCATTGCACCTAAGGGGCGGATTTTCGCTGTTTCATGTGAAATGTCTCTGATAGTGTAATGTTCTTCGTTGCTTCTTTGCTTGAATCGAGTAAAAGCTTTATGCATTTCAACAATCAGATTTTAGCTATAGATCTCAGTTTTTGTCGTTCTTGTATTTTAGTTAGGGAGGAGGGTTGACCCAATTTGGGGAAATTTTATAGCAAGTGAGATTCTGCTGTTATTGTGAAAATTTGTTGATGCAATCAAAGTATTTGCAGAAGGGAGGAGGAAGGTGAAAAATGGAAGATGTTGCTGGTTTGCAAGAAGCAGCTGGAACCAGATTTAGCCAGTTTGAGTTAATCGGAAGAGGATCGTTTGGTGATGTCTACAAGGCGTAAGTATCTGATACATTCTTTTGATATCCTTAAGATTTTCCAGGATGCGTTTTCGTGTGTAGTGAGTGCCAACAGAACACACTTCATGTGTCTGCCTTATTCTTACGCTGAGTTGTTGCCTCTGCTTATATCAGGTTTGATACGGACCTTAACAAAGAAGTTGCCATTAAAGTTATTGATCTTGAAGAATCGTAAGTATTTGCTCCTATTTGTTTGCGATTTCGCAAAGGCATTATTAATCTATATTTGGTTTTCTCTGTAAAAATAGCTCTAGTTTTCAGCTGTAGTATCCTTGTCTCAAGAATACCACAATGCTCAGTGCTCTCTTTTAACTAGCCTATTTTACTTAATATCTGACAGAGAAGACGAAATTGAAGATATACAGAAGGTATCTCTTAGATTGAAGTTAAATTTTCGGTCAAGATTAGCCAATGCAAGATTTTTCGTGCTCACATTTTGTTATTCACCCCAGGAAATTTCAGTATTGTCACAATGCCGTTGCCCATATATTACCGAATACTATGGTTCATACCTTCACCAGACCAAGTTATGGATCATCATGGAATTTATGGCTGGTGGCTCAGTTGCTGACCTTGTATGTTCTTTCTCTTCTTTGCTGAGTTAAGAAATATAATTTGTTTGTGTGGAGTTCTTATTCTATACTTTATTTCTCGTAGCTTCAACCAGGTCATCCATTGGATGAAATTTCAATTGCTTGTATTACGCGTGATCTACTTCATGCTGTTGAATATCTCCACGCTGAGGGAAAGATCCACAGAGATATCAAAGGTTTTCTTTGCTAAAATAAATTAATATCTTTGGTCTTTTCTTGATCCACCAACTTGTGCATGACAATTTCGTCCTTCTTATTTTGCAGCCGCGAATATTTTGTTGTCCGAGAATGGTGATGTTAAAGTATTCTTACTTCTTAAACTTACTTCATTAAACTCTTAAATTTCTTTTATTGCCCGAGTGGTATGATTGCACATCTGAGCTCAACTTTTTCACACATATCAGGTCGCGGACTTTGGTGTGTCTGCACAATTAACCCGGACGATATCAAGGAGAAAGGTAATTAAAATATGTTCTTGTTTCATCATCATATATATTATACTTAGTACTTACTGTTCGAGGAATTAAAATTCTCTTGGAACTCCTGATTCTATTGGCTTTGTGCACTTACAGTTAGACTACATCACAAAATTTCATATATGCTTTTATATAGTCTGATCATTCCAATGGTCGAACATGTTTAAATTTGTCTCTGAAGTGGTCCTATGAAAGCTGAAGGATAACTAAACTTTTATTATGTCTAGCTCTCCCCTGTGACAGTTTAGAGTTATTATACAACTATTTGTGCTGCAATTGCTAATAATATAAAGTTGACAGACATTTGTAGGAACACCATTTTGGATGGCACCAGAAGTGATTCAGAACTCAGAAGGGTATAATGAGAAGGTATTCCGTCCAACCGCCGTAGCTTCTGTGTATGTCCTGGCTTTACTTGTTTTGTAGCATTTCTAATCTTTCTGTCTGTTGTCTTGTTGGGTTGGTTGATCTTTTCCAGGCAGATATATGGTCTCTAGGAATAACAATGATCGAGATGGCAAAAGGAGAGCCTCCCCTTGCTGACCTTCATCCAATGAGAGTGCTTTTCATCATTCCCCGGGAAAGCCCTCCTCAGGTTTCATATTTCTTGTTTTATTTTTGGAATACATTTTCTTTTCATAGGAAATCTAATAATTCCATGTCTTGATCGCGAAGTACCTTTCACGAGCTAGATACTTAACTTTTTGTATTTCCTCCGCAGTTAGATGAGCATTTTTCACGTCCTTTGAAGGAATTTGTTTCGTTTTGCTTGAAAAAAGCTCCTGCTGAGGTACTTGTAGTGCAGTCTCTGGTCTTTATTGCCAGCAGTGGTATGCCATTGTCAAGATCTCTCATTCAAATAACTCTTCCTTATACTTTCAGAGACCAAGTGCCAAAGAACTTCTCAAACATAGATTTATAAAGAGTGCTAGGAAAAGCCCGAAACTTCTCGAGAGAATAAGGTGTGATGCTTTTTTCTAGTTAACCTTTTTAATATTGTTGTTCCAATTTATCAGTCTGCTTATTTGATTGTGTGACAATAACTATGCGTTTGATATGTAGATGGTTTTCCAGTTTGTTCTTTTTTTCCGATCTGCTTTATGCCAAAAGAAAATACACAACATGATGAATTCTTATGGTGTCCTTTATTTTTGTTTGAAGAGAGCGGCCAAAATACCAAGTAAAAGAGGACGAAGAGATTCCAACAAATGGTCCGAAATCTCCGATTGAATCATCTGGTACTGTTAGAGTGGCTAGAGATGAGAGAGGCCAAGGAACTTCTGGAACTAGGTTGGATCAATGGTCTGCTCTTGGGATTTCTTCTCACTTTCTTGTTCATCAAAATGTTAAGAATTTGTAGCTACAGTTTTCAGGGGAAAACTGTCAAAAATGCTGGGTGGGACTTTAGTATCGGAGGTTCTCAGGGTGCTGGAACTGTTCGTGCTTTAAAACCTCCTCAAGCTAGGGAAAGGCGTCAGGAAGTTTCTAATCAGACTTTTCAAAAACCATCACGAACCAGTGGTAGTCAATTGTCTTCCATTTCTGGTGCTGCTGCAGTCCCCGAAAACTCTGAAGCCGGTTTTGTCAAAAGAGATTCGTATCAGGATGACTTTCAAGAAGACGTAAGATCCTTCGCCTCTTGTGTGCCTAGATGCAGTCACCTGACACCATACTTTCTTATTAGTAGATATTGCACGGAAAAAATCTCATTAACTTCTCAAATATATCATGATCTCTTTTGCTTCAAGTTACATGGTTAACCATCTTGAATTTGATTTAAGTTCCTTTCACTTGGAGGATTATGTTTTATCAATATGCAATATAAAGGGAAAATGTAGACCGTACTTTCTCATCCTTGTTAATTTAAATTTTCAGGATGATTCATCAATCAGTGGTTCTGGAACCGTTGTCATAAGATCTCCGAGAAGCTCTCAGTCATCTTCAGTGTTTCGTGATCAAAGCTCTGGGGTATTGGAATTTTTTTTTCTCTTTCGTTTTTCTTTTGTTCTTATAAAGCAAGTCTCTGTGCTCTGCCTTGGTCCTGTTTTGCTGTTCCAACCACTAGTATGTCTGATTCCAGCTCTGTGTAGTCTACCAGCAGGTATACGTCTTTTGATGATGCTTCGACAAGTGGAACTGTTGTTGTCCGTGGGCAGAATGATGATTCTGGATCACCCCGAACACCAAAATCTAGACTAGGGCTTCAAGAAAGAAGTTCCAGCGCCTCAGAAGATAGCATAGCAAATCTTGCAGAGGTTATTCAAAACTTTTTAACTTTTTGATGTTGTCTAAAATTACAAGTTATTTTTCTGTGTTCTTATCCATTCTTCTTCTTTCAGGCGAAGGTAGCACTTGAAGCAGGTTTTAGAAGAGCGAATGCTAGGGAAAGACTAGGTAATGGGAAGGTTAACAAAAAAAGGGAACAAGCTACAGATAATTCTGATTACGTGAGGTCAGTGTGTGTGTATATACATATACTAAAGCTTCTTCTGGTCACAGGGTTTGTCTGGTTATATCTGACATGAAGATGGTACCTTGCAGAAATCCCCGCGATCATTCTGATAAACAAAAACCACTAGTAAGATCACAACAAGTGAGTGATGATGAAGATGACTCCAAATGGGCATCATTGTCTGCACCGTTGTCACTATTGCTGTTACCATCCCTAAAAGAGGTGAGCTTCTGTATATCTATGAACATTTAGCATCTTTCTTCTCTTGATGATTTGGTTTTTAAGTTAGAAGCTGCAAATGATGTAGGCACTTGGGGGTGACGACTCAAAAGGATCTGTTGGACATAGAGTATCGAGATCCCTAGTGAAGATGGAACGTGAAAAACCTGGTTCTTGTGAAGCTTTTGTTGCCAAGCTGATTGAACAGTTGGGAAGGTAGGGGAAACTGTGAAAGAACACACATTATCAGTCGTCTTATTGTGAATACTTCTTCGGTCTGATAAATAAACCTCGAAAATCTTCTTTATGCAGTTCAAAGGAAGTGTCAGTGAAGGAAGTGCAAGACATGGCGATGCGAGTGTTCGGTAAGACGATGAGCAATGATGCAGAGAACAAAAGAAAGCAAGCTAGCAAAGAGTTTACTTCCAATACGAACGTTAGCCCACTTGGAAGATTCTTATTCTCAAGGTTTGGCCTGAGTATAAGCATTAACATTCTTTTTTTTATTGAATTCGGAACCTCAAAAATCGAAAACAGATTGGTAAACTTTGTTCATTTGTTTTCTTGGTGTTTGCAGATGGCTAGGTCAAACATCGCGTGATCTTAACCCAAGTTGAGACACGGCGAGAGAGGATAAGAATGGTGTTTGTGTCTTTTACATTGATTGATGCATTGAATTTTGGTATTTGTGTATAATTTTTCAGCAGAAGATGGGTGTATTTATATAAATCTTTTTTTTTAATTTTATTTGGGCTCTTTTATTTTTTCTTCCTGTTTTTTCGAGAGGAAGCATATTCTTAGTTGTATAATTAAGGGCTTGCCTTTTATTTTTATTTTTGTGGTTGTTTCCTCCTCAGTAAATCAGATTTTTCTGTAATGCTCCACATGATCCACGCGTATAGACCAGCTCCATTGAGCTTCGTGGATTTGAGCTGGCGTTGGCTCCCATACTTTCTGCTGAACAAAGGCACTAGTCAACAAAACATGGTCTACACTCTCTGGTTGTCCACAACGTTTACACTACATCTCATAAGTTATTCCTCTTGATGCCAATTAGTTTTCACATGCCATTGCTTTCCATAGGAACATTCATCCGTTTCTAGCTGGGAGCTTTTGTCTGCTAGTAGAGCTGAGGGATCAGGTGGCGAAATATGCACCCCAACTTGGGAGATTTTCCCTAATTGCGTTCCAATTCCATGAAGGTGGAGCTGTGGCAATATTTTCCCGGGAGAATGCGAGAGACCAAGGCCGTTGGGGTGACGAAATTTCCCGATTTTTCATGCGCATAGCAATAGTGTGGTGACGAGATGGCCGTATATACTTTGAATTTATATACTTTATATATTCAAATAGTCTGGCCAGACTAATCCAAAACCGTACACTGAATTTTTATTGATGATGGCCGTATGTACTTTGAATTTCTATCTAATTTAATAACCTTAGTGTAAACGTGTTATTTATAGAATAGTATAAGTTGGTGTACGTTCAAAAATCATAATGTAACTTTTTATGTTTAGTTGATTACGATAATTTATAAGAAAATTTATTGTTATTTTAAATGACTGCGAGATATTACAACTATAATGATTTAAAATTTATATATATCAAAAACAATATATAGTAGATATTATTTTTCATAATTTCTGAACTCTAAGATACATTCTTAGAGTTACAAATAATCTAGTTTTTTAACATTAAAATAGTATAGTTTTCACGATTATATTATTGATGTTAGGGAAAAACCTTTATCAGCGCAAATACAAAATATGCAATTCAATATTGTGAAGAGACTGTTTTGGTAAGATCATTTATGAACTTCTATATATTTTAAAGCTATTATACTTATCTCTCTTTTTGTTTGGCTGTGTAAAACAAAATTAAAGTAATGCATGGAGTAATGCTAATAACTTAACTAATTGGAATAGCTGAAGTCTAAAAGTATAGAAAATTGATGCTATTGGCGAACATCTAAAACTGTATTGGGAAAAATAAGTAATTCAAAATAAGGTTATTTATTTTTTCTAATACTTTATTAATAATGTTATATACCTTATTTTTATAGTCTTATAAGCCATTGAAACCAAAGGAGGAAATTTTTTTTTTTGAACCAACCCAAGTGAGAAATTTTACTATCATCAAAAGGTAGGTTGGTGTATTCTTTTGCAAACATCATCCGCTGTTTTTTAAACACGTTCGATGTGAACAATTTTATACATCATAGTGATTGTGGCAATATAATACAGCATTAAAAGCTTTAGAACGCAGATGTGATGAGATTTGGAGCATGAATAAACTGTTTGTCGATAATATTTCAATTTCGCTATTTCTACTGACTTGAAATAGATGGAAAAAACAATAGAGAACCAAGAGAATATTAATTTAAAAGATAGTATCACCAATAATATTGTTTTCAAAATTACTTGATTTAGTAGTATATAGATTCTTTTTCAAGTTGTTTGTATTATTGCATATGTAATGGGATAATCAGTTCGTCAACCAATCCTCATTTATCTTATGAATTATAAACAATTCAGATTCATGTTGAAATATATGGTGCAGTCATCGTACAATGAGACAATGATTAATGTGCCAATCAACTTGGTCAACGATGCAGCGAAAGCAAGTGCTGGTTCGCTTAACCTTGCTGCTATTCTTCAGTTAGTCATTGACATATATACTAGATGATTTCGAAGGTAATATCGCATATCCCTTCTTTGGATTTGGATTGCGTATAGTTTTCTTTATTTTCTTTATGCTGTATCCTTTTCAGAAGGTTGAATAATTGATATGTGTTGTACTTTTATGGGATTTGTCACCGTTTTTGTTGTGGCAAGTAACATTTGGGTGCCATTTTTATATGTTGGAGGTATAGGGGTTCTCATTTTGTTTGCTATATTTTTCTGACTATTTCCTCGTAAAAGTCTAGTTCTAATCGTTGTTCAGAGAAAAAAAAAAGAAACTAGTAAAAAAAATAAGAGACTTTGTAATTTCTGTTTTTTTTAATTTATGTGATAAGTACTGGTGTGTAGACAATTAACTTATCCAAATTTATGGTCTTCGTTTTTTTATTATAAATAAATATGGTTACATTTCATTTAGCACTAGAAAGCTTATGGAATAGTTTTGCTAACACTTAGGAAATGTTAGTGGGAGTTGGATTTATATAGAGTTGGTGAAGATTCTAAAAGTTGAGAGATTTGTTAAATTTGTAAAGAGTTTGTTAGATTTAAAGAGAGTTATGAATATTTAGAAAATTTATCAAAATCTTTTATTATAATTATTTTAAAAATCTAGATAGTATTTTGAAAATTTTGTTTACTGAGTTAAATTGTTAACAATCTTTGTCTCAATAACAAAGATCTTAATAAATTAATAGAATCATTAAAAATTAAACTTTTTGACTAACAATAAATTTTGTATAGAATTTGAAAATCTTTATATCAATAACAATGAATTTTAGTAAGAATGTTAAAATCTACCTACCAATAACAATGAAATCTTAAAACTTTAACAATCATTACAAATCCCTCTATCAATAACTCTCCTTTTCTCTCGTCTCAGTTTATTCATGTATCACCTACATATATGAAGTAAAATAGAATAAACACGTTCTTAAAATTTAATTGTTAAAGTCTGCACTTATACATCATTGAAACATATGGTGTTTGTCGAAATAGATGAGTCAGGGACTATTCGTGAATATATATTTTGATCGGAAGATCCAAGCGACTCGCTCGTCGAATTTTGGTTCTCATCAGAATTGTCAGGACATTAATTATCAGATGAGGCTCATCAGATTTCTCAAGGTTTTCAGCAAGAGCTCCTCTTTCCTTTCCCTGAAGATTCTCTCTGCCATGCCAGTCAAAAATACTGCCTGGCCTCTTTGATCTTAATCGCTCTGAGTGTCTCTGTTTGCTTCTATATACACTTTCTGAAGAGCAACAACGGAGCTCAGCGTCTAATCCGGAGTCTGTTGCGCCAACAATGGTATCATTACAGCATTACCTCTTTCAACAAGACAGAGTCCATCGGAGTGGCAAGCTCAGAAGTGCAGCCACTGCTTGCTTTCTTAACCAACACCAAATCATTAATCAAAAGTTTCGGCGAGCCTTGTTCACGATCTCTTGGCCACTTTAACTGAAAAAAATATCACTCTTATAAGGCTGTGTCAATTATTTTCTAGGAACAGAGAAGCTACCCTGAACTGAAAAAATTACTCGTTTCCTTTCCTTATACATTCTTCCACCCATTTATTATTTACTCGGGAGTATTTAATTGTTTGCAAGACTCGGCAAAAAGTAGCCAATAAAAACAAAAACAAGTATGTATCACTTGGTTTGCTTCTCCATTAGTTAGATAGTCAATGAAAAAATAACAGAAGAACTTCCAAAAAAAAAAAGCAATCTATGAAATCTTACCAAAATATCAAGATGAGTTACAAAATTATATATGCTGATTCCACATAATATTAACGTAATAACATATTTTATATACATATAATATTAATATTTTTAACATACTAAAATATTAGATATCTGAATAATAATTGTATTAATATAGAAAAATAATTGATATATCAATAATATATGTATTAACATTTACGCTATACTAAGTAATCATCAATAATAATATATAGTTAACATGATAAAAAATATATAATAACAAATAATACATAAAAATCGATAATAATAACGATACTGAATTAACATTACCAACACAATCATCATCACCTACAAATTCACCATCTTCAACCATCATCTCCATTATTCTTTCCATTATTCTTCACCCTCTTCCCCTCTTTCTTATTTATGATTCGTCTTCGTCTTCATCTTTTTTTTTATCATTAATAAAATAGAAAGAATAATAATAATAATAAAATAAAAATTAAATGCATAATTTGTTGTCAGAAAAAATACTTTATTGTCAGCCAAATTTTAAAATCATCTTTTATAATTACTCATTGAATAACATTCTCTAAATAAATCTTTCATAATTCAAAAATAATAAAAATAGAAAATAATAATGAAAGAAACTGAAGAGTTAGACTCATATCACATTTGTGTCCACATGATTAATTATATATATATATATAACTAACATAAACTATATAATAAATTTAAATAACATATTGATAAAAGGAAATCCTTATAGAAGGTTACATTTAAATAAATACCGGACCCTAAACCAATAATGGTTGGGTTAAAGAATCATCAACATCCATCAAAGCAAGAAGTGCAACGTCAGCTAAAACGAGTAAAGTCCAAGCAAAAAGTGCAACCCCAAGAGAGTAAACGACAAAACCCTCATGACACTTATCGGAATCATATAGATGTTAAGGAAATAAGATCCCATAACATGAGCAAGATGGCCAGTTTTAGCGACAACGAGCGGATCCTCCCCGTGATCAAACCATCTAAATCCAACTTCTATTAGGCTTGTAACGTAAGATAAGATGATGGGGACACACTTGTCCATAAGCCGGTGGAGATCAAACTTATGCGTATGGAAAAAGTGAATAATCAGCAACGCGTTTGCGGTGAACATCACAGAATGCATCAATATTGAGTAGACAACTCCCGAGGTTATCCTGCAATTAATTTAGGAACTCCATTATTTTTTTTGGAATGCTTCCTGCATCTAAGTAACATAAAACATAACGAAAAGACACTCACTCACTTGATGATAAATTTAAGTATTCGTTTCCACATGCCTTTTAGGGTATCTTCCATCTACAACAACACAAGTATACTAATGCATGAGAAAACGTTTGTGTGTTTTGAGGTTGAACAGATAAAAAAAAAAACTGAAGAAATGGTGAAAACTATCTTCCCCCTTCATGGCCATCGGAGATCCACGCAAACCAAATTATCAACAAAATTACCAGAGAGAGGGGTCAGTTTTTTAACTTACCGGAGAGAGCTCCGGGAAATCAGCACCCATAACGCCGGCGCCGAGGGAGATACCTCGTGAGTCGTGACAAGTCCTTGCTTGTGTTGTGATTTGATAGAAAAAACAATAACAAAAACAGGTTTATATTATTGATATATTTATCTCTTTTTATGTTTTTGTAATTTATTTTCTTCTTACGGATATTAAAAGTTATTAACGGATTCAAAATGCCCATAGTTGTTCTATGGATCCAGAAAACATGGGATAATTTGAAATTTTCGTATATATTTCGGTTTGTACCTACTCCTAATTGAAACATTACACATTCTAATTTGTTTTTTATTATACTTTGAGGATAAACATAGAAAGAAAAAAAAAACACTAAAATATATACTATCAAATAAGCTGATTTAAAATTTTGATAAAACAATATTTTATCATTCAAAATAATATAATAGACATTTTAAGCTATTTATCTTAAAAACGAATTTTGTAAAACTTAAGTTCTTAGGAATATGCTAAACAGTGTTCATTATATTCTGCATCAAAATATTTTGTATTTTTTTTTTTTTTTAAAAAGACATTTAAATGTATTTAATTCATTTTCCTAAAAACAAAATCTATTTTA